CCCCCCCCCCCCGCCGCCGCCCCCGCCCCCCGCCCCCCCGCGGCGTTGTCGTGATTCATGAAGTGAGCAAATGGTGTCAACGATGATGAACCTCTCTCTCTACTGTACTCGTGCTGCTTCATAGGCCACTCTCACCAAACGCTTCAGGTGAATTAATGATTGAGCCGGATGCCATGTGTCGCCGTCGAGTGTGGATGAAGACGAAGATAGCAGAAAAAAGCTCCGAAACATCCAATTCGCAAACGCAGACGCCAGCAACCGTTTCACCGTTGCGTCCTTCCAAACTGCCAAATGCTTCTAGCGTTGGCTAGCCCTCCAGCCGCGGCCAATCTCGCTCGTCCAAGTGTTCGTGCATCAAAAGGGCCTGCGCTCAGGTCCATCCATTCCAACGGCTTGGCTTGATGTTTGCCAATCGGCTTGCGCACCGTTGACTGGCTGCTACAGCATCACTGCGATCAGCCGTTGGGTAGCAATAGCATGGAACAGTAACTGACAGACTGCACTGCTGCTGCATGCACTGCGCTTCTGCCCCCGGCGGGCGCGTGTGCAGGACCACGAGACGGAACAAACGATTGATTGGAAACGACCTGAAGCTGTTTGTGTGCATGTGCATGTGCGTGTGCATGCATCCGCCCGAGCCTGTAATTTCAGGGCATGCAGGGCATCTGCGCACTGCGCCACTCGCTTCCCTCAGCAAAGAGTGAGATCAATTAATACCGCAGTTGAGTGGCAGCGAATTAGGTTGAATTGAATTGATCCGAGCTCAACCTGAAGCTGTTTGTCCCGGATTCTTCATTCCATTGCCTCGACATTGACCGTAGTTAATTACAGCGCCCGCCTAATAATGCAAGCAAACGGTAGTCAGGCACCGTTTCCCGGAGGAGCCTCTCCAGCGCCCGGAACCACCGCGGTGCCTGAAATCTTAGTAGTCCAACAGCTAGCAGCCCGTAGAGTTCATGCTAGACACCGATCTGGTTACCTCACCCCGTCAACTCTGCGACCGCGTCGATCGCGATGGCTTCAACTCCAGCCAGCCAGCCAGCCAGCCAGCGCCCGCCCTCTGAGGCTCCATTCCGCTGCGCACATTTTGCTCAATTGAATTGCTTGTTTATCTTCTCTCGGTCTCATGTACTCGTACCTACTGTACTGCACGTCTTATCGCGCCGCTGGAGTCGCTAGAAGCCCGGACCTGCATCTCCCTGCAGGTGGCCCAGCTAGCGGCGCTTCTGCTTCTGCTTGACTCCAAAAGGGCAACCCCTGCATCTGCGTCTGGCCATCCGTCGAACCTGGCCTGCCGGGAGCCACTCTTTTCACTTCTGCTAGACACAGTCAGCGACAAAACGGAGGGAGACGGATCGAGAGAAGCCACAGAAGGCATGGATGTCCACGGAGCTGAAGCCACGCGTAGGCGGTCAAGGACGGTCGAGACAACCTGGCAACGCCCCATCGCGATGCTGGGGATCCCATGTACAGCACCCGTACCTGAGAGCCGAACTGAATTGGCAAGCGGGCGGCTCGAATAAACAGAAACAGAAACAAGACCAAACTGAACTGAACTGAACTCAAACCGAGTCGCATGATCCATCTACGACAAGAGACTCGGTCAGCGTGTCTCGACATGCTCCCAACCATCATCGTCGCCCTCCTTGCATGATTGCTTCAAAAACAAAAACAAAACAAAAAAAAACTCTCTAGACGAGTGCCCGTGGCACAAACTCTGCGGGCCAAAGCTCCAGTTGCGGACTCTCGTCCATCCCCATCCCATCCCCATCCCCGGGCGCTGCGGCCAGGCCAGGCTACTACCTACTGTTCCTCTGCTCGTACTTGGACTGGACGCTACGGACCTCCCCTTTTTCATGGGCCTCCCCCCCGGGCCGCATCTTGTGCCCCGTCAACCGCCTTGTCGGCTCTCTTTCGCTCTTTCGCAATCCTCCACACGCTCGTTTTCCCGTCTGTCGCTCTCTCGAATCGCTGACCGTTACGCTCTTTTCTGCCCTATCCATACTCGGATTGCGCACGCCTTGGCTGGCATTGTTGTGCTTCGTCTTTGCCGCCTAACCGCCGCGACAGTTCCTTGAGGATCCTACGAACAATCGCCCTCGGTACATGTCCTTTTTCATTTCTAATTCTTCCAGTCGCTACTTCGGACTAGTCCGTAAATTCTTCTTCAGCTCGCCTGCGACTCTCTCACAGGCGCGCTGCTAATTTTTTCTGGTTACACTTTTTCGATTCTCACGGGTTTTATTTTCATCTGCTTGCCAACATTATAGCCGCCGACCCTTTTGACGCGACCAATCAGTTTCTGCTTCTTCTTCCCCCTCTTCATATTTGCTTTCAAATACCCCCCTCGTGCTCCGGTACTTCTTGTTTCTGTGCGAGACTGTCCGTCCAACCCGAATTGGCATGACCAGCAGCCTGATCGGCTCGCACCACACGACGAATCGAAGCCCTCGGACGTAATATCGAGTATCCTACGGCCTCGCCACCTCCGCACCAAGCGATTCACTGGCTCTGCGCATCCTCACGCCCTGCAAGACCCAATTTCATCCACAGCCGCGCCGACTTCTCGCCATCTCTAAATTAGTTGGGCAAATGTTATGAGACGGCTCTCCTGTTTAGTGAGAAGAGGATGTCCGAATCGCCCGATTCCGAACGGTCCTCGGAAGGGCGTTCGTCTCCAAACGAGAAACTTCAGATTCGGCTTGTGCCGTATCAACCGCCCCGGCTCAGCGGCGGTTCCGAGCTCTTCAACCCGAATGCCTCCATCGGCTCGAACCTGGACAATGTCGAAATCCATTCTGCGGACTATTCGCCCGCCACCGCAAGCCCTCCTTCTTCGGCCTCGACCATCGCCGGTCCGTCTCGCGCCTCAGCTGGCAAGCGACGGAGTTCAAGTATTGGCCCAAATGAAATCCTCGATACCGGTTCATCTGCTATCGAGGCGGCCCCTCGGGGGAGATATCGATCTCAATCTCTGTCGCAATCATTGAAAACCCTGACGTCGCCGCCATCCCCAGAACTCCCACCTGACGCCGCTGCCAATATTGCTGCTGCTACCGCTGCTGCTGCTGCGACATCCCCAGTCCAACGTCGCCCCAAGAGATTCATCGACATCAACCTTAATTCTGACAACAAGACCTTCTCCCTCGTCCCCCTTAACTCCGTTCGGGCCTCCCGGACCAACTCCGTTGTTTCTACTCGCACCGACTCAAACCCGCATTACTCTGTCGCCTCCAGTTCCTCTTATATGCAGAATTCTTCAAGCATCTTTAGCGAAGATCGCCCCAGCTCGGCCTTGACGACACTGGCAGAGGATAGCGCCTCTGTGACCGCATCATCCCTCGGTCCCTCAATCCCCGAAGAAGATGATGACTCCATGTCCCCTTGGAACTACAACCTTGTTGGTGGACTGCGCAAGGTTCAGAGTCAGCTCAGCGATGCCACCGAAACTACCCCCACCCAACTGCCTCCATTCCTGGAGGAAGATCCCGTCGCCTCGGGCAAGATTGCGGTGGAGGAAGAGCGCATCGCTGCGTTTACGCTGAATAGCAAGAAATCATTCCAGTCCAACAAAACCGGCAATACCGTGTCGGATCGCACGAATTACAAGACGTATGCGCAAAGCTCTTCTGGCCCGGACACTGTTCGTGGCTCCATGGCATCGGACTTCGACACCTCTTCGCTTTTCCCCGGCGGACCCAACTACGTCGTTTATGACGGCGCGTCAACATCTGACCAATCCCGGGCGCACTCGGATTCGGAAGTGAGGGAGACGCCCAACTATGTTGTCCACGGACACCGACGTACGCAGTCGGACGGGACGGACATCTCTCATGCGCCGTCCGAATACTCGAACAACAGCATGGTGGTGGCTCCTTTACGGCCCATGAGATCAGGCCGTCTCTACTCTAGCTCGACGATTCCTAGCACTCGATCGCTCGAGCACCTGAGGACCGGGTCCTTGACATCGGTTTCCAGCTCCAGACTCAACCGGGAGGCTGAGTCCAATGCTCCAGCGGGCATGTCCACACAGGTCGATTTAGAAGGGCGACATTCGCGATCCCAGTCCAGTGCCAGCCAAGTTCACCGCAGAAATACGTCTCGAACGCAGCCATGGGGTACTGCTCTGTCCACAGTCATGTCAGAGAGCGAACGGAGTGACCCGTCGACTCGGTCCATCTCTCGACTGTCTGGCAATGCTCGCAGCAGCGTCTTTACGCTCAACCAGCTCAGGCAGACAGGAAGCTTCTCCACCTTTGGTCTGGAGGAGACTTTGGCCATGGCGTCCCATTCTCGAAACGGCTCTGTAGACCGACCTCAACCAGTTTACGGCAGAGATACGCCATTCTCTACTGCTCGTCTAGTACGCGACCATGACGAGGATGGTGATGGTCTGGCAGACCTGGAGAGCATGAACCGCCTCCCCTCCCGCGCCCGCGGCCTAAGCATGGCTTCCGAGCACTCAGGGCCCAGAAATCACCGTTCCCGTTCCAGAAGCAATTCTCGAAACAACAGCATAAGCTACACGTCGGTCATTCCGGCCTGGGCCAGGTAAGCAGAGCCCGTAACCAGCCTCTGAAGTTTGGTGTATCTAACTTGAATAGGGTTTATTACGGGAGTGGAGAACGGCGCTTTTTGGCGGCGCAACCTTCCAACGAGTCCATGTTTTCGCAGTTCACCAGCAGCTTACACCGAGATTCGTCCCACAGCCGCTCCCCGAGCTATGAGGCGTACACTGGCGAGATCATCAACCCCCGTCGTCGGCCCCGAGAAATGCATCGCCGCGCCAGTGAATCCGATTCGATGGACATCCGCCCCAACCCCTATATGCCCGTCGATCACAGCGTCAAGAAGCAGACTTCGAGCGTCTGGTCACCGCATCTGCAAACCGATAGACGAGCCAGCCGATTTAGCATCTGGTCGCCTCCTTCGTTGGCCGAATCCGCCGACTATGGAATCTGGAAACGAAACCTCCAGCTTGTGCTGTTCGTTCTCGGCTTCATCTGTCCATTTAGTAAGTCCTCTTGAGCTGTACGGACACGCCGCGCTTTGGCTAACAGAAGACACCAATAGCTTGGATAATAGGCGCCATTCTGCCAATTCCTCCCAAGCTGGAGCGAGAAATGACAGAACAAGCCTACAGCACAGGCCATCTGGATATTCGAATGGAGGCACGCCAGCAGAGGCTATACATCAACGCGGAACGCCTTCATGAACGCGCCAGGTGGTGGAGAAGCGTCAACCGGCGCATGTCCATCATCGGCGCCCTCATCATCTGCCTCTGCGTCGTGCTGATTGCCGTCGGCGTGACGCAGTGGCATTCATGAACGGATTCTTTTGGGAGGGAGTTTTCACTACTGACTTGGAGAGATTTTCATCTTTGGACAAAAAGCGACAGACATACACTTTTGGGATATTTTAGCGATCATTTCTTTTTTTCTGATGGGACGACGACGACAACAATACTCTTTTTGGATAACTCGTTTCTGGACGGCGCCGTTTTTTCTCTCGGGGTTTCGGATTCATTTTTCACTTCGATTTTTTTTTAAACAACTCTTACGAGATTACGATTCACCATTCTTCCCGCACTTTACATTATTACAGTACAGACCATTATACAACAATGTGTGTACACACGCACAACACACGACTTTTTATGCGTAACGCAACACCCCTTTTTGACGTCTCTTTCGACATATTTATAAACACCTTTTTTTTTTTATATATACATAACTTTTTTAACAATCTGATGGGAGCATGAGATAGATACCTTATGTTGGGGGTCTTTGAATTTTTTTTTTCAATGGATGAATGGAGGATGGGAGGATGTTACATGCTGATATGTACGATGTATACGCATAGCCAAGGATTCGTGGGATGTTTTGAAAAAAAGACGAGTGTTGATGAATGCGTTTTGAAGAAGAAGAGGAGGAGGAAGAAAGACTAGATTTCACAAAAAGCAGATGAAATAAAACCACATTTACATTTTTACATCATGGACATGTTTCTTCTCTTAGTTATACAGACTGAACCTGTCAATCAAGTAATACACTAAACGCGAGAAATCCATAGCAAAGGTTACACTTTGTCTCTCAACATGTATCTCTCCCTCGCAAAATCTGCATGCTCCTCTAACCGTTCCCATGTAATGAAACATTTCCATCCCTAAGCCCACCCATTTGTCTATTGCTGGTTTCCATTATACTCAACACCCACTTGCGTACATTTCAAGTAAAAAATGCCCGACAAGAAATAAATAAATAAAAAAATCATCGCGTCTTCCGCTTCTGCAGCGCCGCAATCTCCGCCCTAAACTCGCTCACAGCCTCAGCAATGTCATCCTCAGGATCCTTCATGCCGAGAATCGGCTCCACGCCCGAAAGGCTCTCGCTGCTCGTCGAGCGCTTGAGCCGGGCGCTAGCCTTGCCCTGGCGACTCTCGAGCTTCTTCTTCAGCAGGGACTTTCCGGGCGACGCGAAGAAGGCGAGCGACGCCGTGGTCCAGACGAAGGCGTAAAAGTAGACGTGGGACCAGGCGCGGAAGGAGTCCTTGAAGCCCAGGACGAGGAAGGGCAGCGTGGTGAAGGAGAATGTCAGCTGGGTGACGAGGTAGGTGGCGAAGTCGTAGTACTTCTTCTTGGGCGTGGGGTTTCCGGTGATGGGGTCGAGGAAAAAGGGGCGAACGTGTCGGCGGAAGTCTATCACAGTCACGGTTTAATTTCATGAAGCAAATATTTCAGTCATAGAAACAAGGAGATCAGCTTACTCTTGGCCGACGTTTGGATCAGACTGGCCAGCATAAAGCTGAGGTAGTAGCCAGGGTAGAAGCCATGCCAAAAGGCACTGGTGACAAACGTCGTCATGCTGGCTCGGAAACCGGGCTTCTTGCCTCGGGGCGTCACCCGGAGGTAGATGTAGTTGCGCAGCCAGTTGTTGGTGTTCATGTTCCATCCAGCCAGATACGCTCGAGGATTCTGCGCCGTCTCGACAGTCCAGGGATCGACGTTTTGCAGGCGGTTCCACGAAACCTTTCCAGTGGCGGGATCGATGCCGTTGTAGCCCAAGCCGGCCAGGATACAGGCGCCCTCGGTCAGCGCCCACACGCCGTAAAACTTGAAGCGCGTCACCTGACTGGCCATGTGGATGAGGAAGACGCGGTGGAGGAACGATCGCTCGGTGAAGGACTCGTCGGTAACGTGGGTGTGGCTAAACTTGCCCGACAGGCCGACAAACAGGCCGATCCAGACGAGCCCGGTGAGGGCCTTCTTGGTGGCGGGGGTGCCGCTGCGAGGAATCTTGCGCTTCTTCCGCACGGGAGGCTTCTTGGCGGGATCGACCTGGGCGGGCACGTCGAACATGGAGGTGTCGATCCAGCGGCGATACTCGGCATAATCAAAGGCCGGCCCGGCGAACAGCGAGGGGAAGAAGAGCACGTAGGCAGTGTAGTCGACGAGCGGCGGGAGCTCCTTGAGGGCGCGGTTCTGCTGCAGCTCGGACAGCTGGTCGGTGGGCAGCTGGCCGTCGGCGACGTTCCAGCAAAAGGCCGAGAGCTTCATGATGAGCACCATCTGGGCGCCGGTGATGTCGACGACGTCGGGCGTGTTTGTGATCTGTCGCTGGATGTGGCTGACGGACATGTGGCCCATGACGAAGAAGAAGCCGATCCAGGGCATGTAGGGGCTGCCGCGCAGGAACTTTGCGATGGCGTAGGTGCCGCCCGCGCTGATGGCCAGGGTGAGGATGCCATCCCACAGGTCGAAGAGGCCGACGAGATAGAAGAGCGAGACGCTGTTGGCTCGTGGCGACTTTTGGTCAGCTCAGCTGAAAGGGGTGGAATCTTGACGTTCTGGCGGTTGGGTTTACCATATAATGAAGATGTTCTTTTGCAGCGGCTTCGAGTCCGGCAGACGCTTGAGGATGCCCGCCAACGGATACGACAGGAGGAACGAAAACGTCAACTTGACTGTTGGGAGAACGTAATGGTCAGAGTCGATGCAGAACGGAAGGGCATGTATCGGTCGAAGAGTCTCTTACGTTCGTCGGGAGAAGCAGCAAGCTTCGTCGCCAGCGCCTCGAAAGCTGAGCATTGCAAACACACACGCGTTAGCTAAAGGGACAGGACACAACCAGAAGAAGCAAGACCAAGATCAAACTCACGCCTGTGCAGAAATAACAGCATTGCTGCGTTATGCGACACCCGTCCCGATCAATAAAGATGCCCAGCAACAAAGTTGACAAAAAGAAGAGGAAGAAGCTCCAAGAGCGGGAAGATGGAGGGGTGCAACCCCAGCTGAATTTAAAAAAGGAAGAAAAAAAAGCGGGAAGCTACCCCAAGAAAAAAACAACAGGTCAACAAGCAAGATCTGAATCAAGATGACATACGGAGTACCCTGGCCAGAAACCAGACAGAAGAAAAGAATCAGAAAAAAAAGAAAGAAAAAGAGAGAGAGAAAATAATAAGGGTAATTCTAGGCATCTATACCAAGAAAAATCCGTTGAGCCAACAGCACGGCCCCCGATTTTTGTTCTTGTTTTGTTGAGCGCATCAAATGACGGAACGATGCATCTACTCGTACATTCTACACCGAATCCATGCACGCACATGCACATGCGCACACACACACACACCACGAGACATCATCATTCGCCAAACCAAAAAAAACACGTGCCAACCATTACAATATACAATGTACAATATACAATAAACAATCTCAAACCTAAAAAAAAAAATCAACAGTCAAAGAAATTGCATATGCAAAGCATCGCAATTCAGTAGCCTGAATTCAAAATGTTGATTTAAAGATTAAGATTATAATAAAGATAAAGATAAAGACGAAAAAGTAAAAACAAAACACAAAAGACAATGGCGGCCTGGGAATTGACTTTCAACAATGAGAGAAGAGAGTTTCATGGTTTTGCTTTTTTTCCAATTACATCACCGGCGACGCATCCCAATCCCACACCCCTCCGGCAAAATCTGCTGATCACCGCCTCATCCAGCCGTAGTTTGACAGATCAGCCCTGGCAAGCAGAAAAATCAAGGCACGGAATCCAGGGGAGAGAGTGAAACATGCATCTACACTTATACCTACTCCGTATACTTGCTTATTCCAGCTTTATAGTCTTTGCTAATCGCGCATCGGGGATGAAGCCGTCCACAACACCAACAGACATCACATGCACTCACTTGTCCAAAGAGACGCCGTTATAAGACATATCCAGAGTATCAATAACCTATCACTAGAGGTACAGCTGGTTTGTGTATATCAGAGAGCATGGCACGCCCCGCCAGCTTTGCTCTGCACGCACTTTTAGAAACCCGTCCGTCAAAGAGATTCCCATCCAACGCCGGTCATAAACCCACAAACACCACCATGATAGACAAGCCAAAGTATCGACGAGCCAAAACCCGCTCAGTCTCGAACAATGGCGCAAACCTTACTCCGAGAACGCCCCCATTGACTCCAGGTCAAAGCAACCGTGCAAAACCAAACGCCATTATGGGAAAAACACCGGCCCTCAGGACCGTGTGTAAAAAAACCCATCGCAACAGAATCCCTATCCGTAAAAAAAGACAAATAAACAAGGAGAATTACAATATAAAGAAGAGACCAAGAATTGGAAAAAGAAGAGAAGGAAGAAGAGAAGAAGAAAAGAAAAGAAAGGGAAAGAAAAAAAGAAAGAAACAAAGAAAGAAAGAAAAAGCTCCCACCCGTATAACGCCGCGCCAAATCCGTTTTGAGAGGCTCCGTCAAGGAGCACAGAAGTGTACATGAAGCCCTCACTTTGAACGCCAAAGCGAGGAGGTATATGAAAGGGCAACGGTAGCGCCCATCAAGACGAAGCAAAAGAGCATCTGACCTTAGGCGCTATTGTCAGTCATCATCCTAGGCATCATGGCTGTCATGGCAATACGCTACTCACCATGGCTTCCTCTGCATGGAACTACCATTATTAATGGTGAAAGTAGAACTCGTTGGTGGCACCATTATAACTGTTCCAGGGATAGTCTTCGCCGTTCTGTTGCTGCTCGTCTTGCTGCTCGTCTTGCGGGTGCGGTGATGGAAGCTGGTTCTGCCGCTGCTCGTCGGGCTGCGGCTGCTGCTGCAGTTGGTGATGAAACTGCTGCTGCTGCTGTTGTTGTTGATGATGATGTTGCTGCAACTGCATTTCATGCATCTGCTGCTGCTGCTGCTGCTGTTGGCGCTGCAGCAGCTGCTGGTGATGCATCTGGTGCTGTTGTTGTATCTGCTGGTGGTGCAATGCATCTTGTGGCAATTGACCTTGCTGAAGGTGATCGTGATATTGAAACGAATGGTGGCGATGGGCATAGCGTGCCTGAGCCTCCACTTGTGCTTCGACCTGAGCTTCAAAGTGATCGCGAGCCGGATGCTGCTGAAGGTAATCGTAGTCTGCTCTAGAGTAGGCAGGGGCGACAGCCATGGCCGACACCGGCAGGGCTTGAGACATCATGACTTGAGAGCCGTAGTCGGCAACATGGGCGTGCGGCGAGAAGTTGGCAACGTGGCTCAGGGGAAAGTATTGCGTGTTGACACCCATGAAGCCATTCTCTTCCTGTGAATACAAGGGAACATCATCCACAGGATTGCGGAAGTTCTGCGACATGACGAGCTCGGTGCGAGGCTTGATGTTTTGAAAGTACTCGGACTCGCTCGGGGTCACCAGAGCCTTGTTGTCGACGTCCTCTATGCTGTAGTAGCTGACCAGGTGGTGTGGCACGCCTTGATAGGTGATGCTGATGGTCTTCTTGACGAGACCCCTTTCCTTGAACAGGTAAGAGTCCACCAGAGAACCGACCAGCGACCTCTCTGGGTCCCGGGCGATGGCGGCTGGGTCTAGCACAGTCGAGTTGGACCGAGGAGTGGCCTTGTTGACGCCCTGGGAACCTCGTTTCCTCTTGAGGGCACGCTTCTTTTCACCGGGAGGAAAGGGCTTGTCTAGCTCGCGGTAGATGAGGAAGTTGCCGAGGATGCGACTTGGGCTCCAAGAGATGCCATCTGTCCAGCGCTTGATGCCCGAGGCGTGCTCTTCGTAGATGAAGATGTTGCCGCTCGAAATGAGCTCTTGACGTTCTCGGTCATGTGGGCGTCGAGGAACGTGGTTAATTTGACCCAGCAAGCAGGCTTCGAAGAGCAGAAGGGCATCCCAGGTGGTGGCTACATGGCCCTGGAACGTAGGGTTTAGGGGTGTTTGACTAGACATTGCAGCCGAAACTGATCTTTTTGATGGCTAGTCTGGAGGTTGTTGCTTTGTGTGTACAGCGTGTAAATTAAGCAGCGTGTGCCTATGCGAGGTAGATAGTGTTAGTGTCGGCACCGATGGCTATACACGAGACTGTCCATATGTCACGGATTGGCTTGATGCTCCCCAAGGGGCAAAGCGGACAATTGGAGGCAAGTTGGCAAGGGAGCGTGAGACGGGTTTGAATGCGTAACACGGATATGCCAGTGACGGTATAGGTTGTTGATGGAAGAAGAGATGGGCTGGTCGAGGGGCAAGAGAGGAAGTAGAGACGAGGTAGGATGGCTACCAGGAGAAGGAGAGGGAGAGAGATAAGAGAAGGTGAGAGCGAGAAGCAGAGAGATATATAATAGTGGGGGAGACAAGTAGAGGAGCAAGTAGTGTAGTGCAGAGTAGAGTAGAGTAGAGTACTAGGTAGAGCTACTACCAAGGTAGAGGAGGAGGAGGAGAGAGAGGAGAAGGAGGAGGAGAGAAGAGAAAGAAAAGTGGAGACGAGGGTGTGTGTACAAGCATGGCTGCACTGGAGTGTGTGCGGGAACTAAGTGGGGAGTGAGAAAGAAGAAGAGAAATCAAGACGTACCAGGCCAGGGTAGGATCGCGGGCCAAAGCTATCGTATCGTATCGGACAAGAGTCGGATGTCAAACGCCGGCAAGGGACGAGTAGGGCTGCCGATTTCGATTCGCTGATGACGGACGCTGACTCGAGCAACGAGAGTAGGTTGAAGTAGGGTTGAGTAGGGTTAAGTTTTCGGCTTTGGTTGACGTTGACGTCCCCGGGGTTAAACTTGGGGGAGCGGGAGTGGTGAAGCGGAAGCCGTCTGGTGGAAAGCTTGAGAATAGACAGACGGATCGGCGTCACGGCCGAAGTGTAGAGGGGGGATATCACGACCAAAATCAGATCCGGGGCACAGAACCGGAGCTGACGCTGACACTGAAGCAGAAACTTGATGCTGAAGCAAAGCAGTTGACAAGTAAAGGGCGCGGCTGCAATCAGTGGAAGCTGGAAGTGAAGGTGAGGGCGGAAGCGGAAGTAGGAAAGGTAGGGTGTAGGATGAGAGTTGTAGATTGTGCGAGGAAAAGGAAACGAGAAGAGGCGGCCACGATCGAATCTATATAGGCCCAGGAAGAGGTATCAGAGACGAAAGAGCCAGAGCCGTAGGAAATGATCCGCAGAAATGGATCCGTAGAAAAGATGGATAAAATAAGAAAAGAAGCGATAAGAGGGACCCTGTGATCCAGCAAATTGCCAATGAGTTCGTCACAGACCCAGCGTGAGGCGGCGGTGGCTTTTTTTTTTTATCTTTTTTGTTGTTGTTGTTGGTAGCGCAATCTCTGGGCACCGCAGCTCTTGAAAAAAAAAAACGCCCAATTGCTCAAAGAGCGGAGAGATTTCCTAGGTACAACCGCTGGGACGATGCAAAAGAATCCGATGTTGCAAAAAAGAGAGGGAGAATGAGGCCGAAGAAGAGGGGCGTTGAGTTGCTTCGAGAGCTGGGGGCCCCACCGAGGCCGCAGTTAGCAGGCAGGTACAGATGAGCTGGTTGTCGGAGGGTGTGTACCGGCGGCCAGGGCGGAGGGAGGGCAGGCGGCCAGGTACCGGCACCTGCGCGTCTACATGCGGCATACCTCGATTGCTGGGCCAAGGTACCTTGGGTGGGAGAAGCAAAGGTGTACTCGGGCTTGGGCTTGTAATCGCATGTAGACTCGCAGAGCAACGTGCGAGTTACGGTACAGTAACGTCCAGCAACAGCGGACGCCCTGGATGTGGTGCGGGTGGGGCCAGCAAGCCGTGGCTTGAGCGAGACCGATTTGGACCCAATGCGGCTGCGACCCAGGGAGCGACAAGGCCCAGCGCTGGCCGCGAGGTAGGCGGTACGCCGCTGGTGCGGGCGACCCGGGCACAGGCCGGCGTAGCGCCTACCGCAGGGCCAGCGCCGGGCCAGGTACCTGCACAGTGCCGACTGAGGCAGCGCGGCGACGACGTACCTGGAGTAGCGCGAGCAGCCGGATCGCTGGCAACCAGGTCAGCACAGCTAGCACCAAGTGCGCGCGCCAGTAGCACCGATGCGGTGCGTGCGTGTGCGTGTGTGTGAGTGAGTATGTGTGTGTCTATGCGTGGTGGTTGCGTTGTGATTCTCTTCTGTTCAATGATACTAGTAATTCTCCTTGATTTTGACTGATTACATGTAACTAAATGCTAAGTCATCTCATCTTTTGGTTACGGTCCAGCCCAGCCCAGCACGGTACGGGGCAAAGCGCAGCAACGGAGCGGTACCTCCATCCTCCGCGCATCGACCACTGCAACTGCAGCAGCTGCTTAGCGCGGGCCCCCGGAGGGTGCTTGGGCCCCATTTCCCGCAACTGCCGACAGCAGGGTCAAGGGCCCTTTTTACCAGCAGTCTGGGCTATTAGCCGGGGACAAGGTGCTTTGCGCTTGCACTCCCAGTTTGTCTCCTCAACTCTGATACTGCACCGTCATTGCATAGCGGCAGCTGGATGACAGCGAATTATTCGAGAACAACGGCCACCAAAGTCAAGCAAAGCCAGTGGCAGAACAAAGTCAATGGCATTCTTCCCAATTGGACTCGACAAGCTTTTTCTTGCATTGCATTTTGACAGCGTTCAGCACAGTGTCGTATACAGTGCCGTATACAGTACGCCATCAAATCCATTGGCATCATTACATTGAAGTAACCTGTATATAGTACCCAGGAATCGTCCTTGTACTCGGGTCTGTGCTCCGTAGCGTCGGACCCGCTGTGCAAAGGAGATCTGGGCCGATTGCCTACCATGCCAATCGGCGCCACTCTTGTGACTACAAAATCCGAGCGAGATACAAAAAAAGAGTAACGAATCAGATAAAATGAAACGATGAAGAAAGAATCCTCCAAGTAGGCTGTGCTGGCCAGAGAGCGCAATTCCGCCAGAGCGCAGTCGAGAATGCCCCTCTTCATATCGCACGTCGTTAGGCGCGAGTAACAAAAAACACACTTACTACACAAAAAAAGGGAGGGGAAAGAAATGAGGCGGCCGAAGGAGAGACGACACAAGGTGGGCGCATAAAAGTGGGCGGAAGAGAAGAGAGAGAGGGGGGTGCCCTTTCGAGGCGATGCTACTGTACCTCGCCCGTTGTACTAGCAGCCCAAGTGCTGAGTGCCAAGTGACTTGGAAGTACTCCATACTCGTACACCAACCAGCCAACAGGATGCCATGACATAAGGCAAAGCAGAGCAGATGGATGACATTGAACAAGATGCGGCTGGTTCTGGTCAAGCCAAGCCCACACAAAAACGAGGCTGGAAAAAGCGCCGCTCAGCGTCATCTCGCAACGTCGACGTGTGCGGTCCCGAATCACGTTTCCCCTCTCCGTCGTTGCAAAAAGAAAAAGCCGTGGTTTTTGAAGATCCATTCTTGGAACTAGCAATCGGGCTGTGCTGCGCGTGAGGGCATCTCGATGCAATCAATGGGTTCCGATTACGGGTGGTGTTGATGATACCTGTTGCAAGTGCAAGTGCAAGTACAAGTATATCGGGGAAGAGGAGAGAGGACTCGCGAGAGAGACTTGCTCAGATGCACAAGCATGACAATGCATTGGTTCCGTATGGTCCAGCCAATGCCAGTTTACCTAATGACACGAGACACGCTGCTAACGGCCAAGCACATCTGCAGCTCTAATTTCATCCTGCCGCGGATAAAGGCCAGGCCAGGCCAACAACGAGACGAGACAGACAGACAGACAGAGCGCAACTAGCACGCTTCGTATAGTACCGGCATAAGGGCCGCGCTGGGCCAACGCTCCCTCGTCTCGTCTCGTCTCCCTCTTCCCTCCCTACGCTTCTTTCCTGCTGGCCTGGGGCGCTACTTTTGCTGCTAGGATGCCCGCGAGCGTGGCCGCGGCTTTGCCCAAAGCCAGCCAAGGCCCCTCCCCAAGCTTGGTGGAGGCGCCTAAAAAAGGTGAGGCACCGAACTTGCTGCTCCCGCAACCAGCCGTTTCCGCGCTGGAGGGGAGGGGCTGCGGCCGTCCAGGTTGAACCCGGCTGGCCTTTTTGGGGGGGAAGTTGGAAAAATGATGGCACTACTGTACGAGTACAACTGGGCTTTGTTAGCAGGACAGCAAGTACGAGTATACTGGACACCCGAAACTGTTGACTGTTGCGGCAGAGGTTGGTTGGCGGTGCCCCCGTCTACTGCGACCTCACCACGCCTTTACGGCATTGATTTTTATCGCCTCGAATCGGTATCGGGTCGTGCTACTGCTGCGATGAGATGCTGGTGGTTTTTTTTTTCTTTGGTGTTTTTGTGAGAGAAAACTGAGCCTTGATACCACACGACGGACGCTTCGTTATGCAGCTTATTGCCCTCTATCACACTCTCTATACGACTAGTCTCTCGTGTTGACCAGAAAGCAAGGGGACTTGACTGCGTGGGTGCTGATGCCGGCGCTCTCCGCCTGTTGCTTCGAGTCGGCCGTATTCTCGTGCATTTATCGTCATGGCTTGTTGTTATTAGGTACTGTTAGTTTGGCTATGATGGAAGAAATCGACGATCGTGGGCCTCGATTGCAATACCCCCGAAGAGCCCCTCCACGGGACCCCTCGTTGAGCCTCAACAAAGATCTTGGAAACATTGGCTTGAATGTATTAATAGCCCGGTAGCCCGGTTTGCAGTTGATCGACCCCATGCCGCCTTGTTATCGCTTATCGTAGCAAGGCGGGACAAGAAAGGCCAGGGAACGAGGAGATCGTGAATACACGTGCCCCAACGATACGCACACTCCGACAATTGCCCGGCCCGCGAAAAGAGGTGCTCATGCCATGGCTTTGTATGCGCTTATACGAGCACCCCTACAGGCTTGCAAGTTCCCCTTTTCCTCTGCGCCTCGCCGTCTCCCATGACTGACTAGGCGGCTCTTTGATCGGAGATATGGCCGCGTCTCCGCAAGCATGCCTTACTCATCCTCGTATTCCCCTGTCAAATCGCGAAGCCAAGGCGCCAAGATCGCATCAAACTCGTCGCCCTGCCTCTGGGCTCCCCCCCTGGCCGCTGATGACGCCGTTTCCAAAGATTTCATCTCCCTGCTTGTCCGGATTTTTCCAATGGCGCCGAGCTGTCTCTCTCCCTCTCTCTCTCTCTGGTTTCGCAGCGGTCATGCCGCCTTGACCAACAACTACAGTACAGAACGGAACAAGCCTGAGCACACTAGCAAACTAGAGCTCACCCGGCCTGCAACCTCTCGCCTGGCCCTGCTCCGTGGTTTGGCGATCCAAGTTGGCCGGCCCACGGCCGTTCGCCACCATGCTCCAGTGCTAAGCAAACGCCCCCCATGCGCTAGGAGTTGGATAGGGCTGGAATAAGCCTCTTAGCGTGGATACACACCCCGCTGAGCAAGAGGGTGCGTTGCCGGCAAAGCTCGCTCGCTGGGCTGGTTGTCGCTCGTCTCGCTCTTATGGCTTGTGGAGAGGGAGAGAGAGAGAGAGAGAGAGAGAGAGAGAGCCGCTCTCCGCTTCTTGACCCGTCAGAGTGAGTCGTGCCTCTTTTTCCGGCCCATCTGGCGGCACGCATATATCGTATCCGGGTCGGCAATAACGGTCCAATAGGGAGCAAGTCTTCAGCCAGCTTCCTTCGCTCGCCGAATTTTCCGTCGATCCAGAGGGCTGCCCCAGTGGTTCGTTTGCCCAAGCCCGCCACCCTGCCTGCGAGAACGAGACGGTCTCCTTGTCCGGCTCCCTTGGCAGAGGCTCTGCTGTGTCTCTCTGTCTCGGTCTCTCAGTCTCCCCCTCTGCCCGCGCGCACACAAGAATGCGTATCTATTGCCTAATGCTCTGCGACGAAGAATATGATGTGTAACTTGTGCGTGTGGGACACCATTGTTGCTGTCTCATTAGAATTCAGGAACACGCAAAAGCGTGTGGTTCAGAGTTTGCCTGGCGGCCACCCGGACGCGGAAGTGGCCGACACGAACCATGCGAGCACCATGCGCTTCTTGTCCTTGTGCCCGGCCGGGTGAGAGTCAAAAAAAAAAAAAAAAAAAGAAGTCACACACAAAAAAAAAAAAAAGGAAAGACAAAATAAATGACAAGATGGGAGGCCAGGCCAGGCCAGGCCAGGCCACGAGCGCTGTGGGAAGCGGCATTGCCACAGTCATTGTCTGTCAAATGCAGCGTACCTGCATCGCCAATCCGCCAAGAATCTCACTCATCATATTGTCTTCATCACATGCTGGTCTGGCCGCGTGGCAGCGTTGCTCGCTTAGCACCCCATGTCATGTCAGGTCAGGCCATGTATGTGCAGACCTGTCACGTCACGGCCGAGTTACAGTACGAGCACCTCCAGTACCTGTCCGGTCGTATATCGCTCAGCTCTCCATGGGGCCCCAAGCAGGGCAAAAGCGGGCGCCCACGGCAAGCAAAGCAAGCAGAACAGAACAAGAACCAACAGCCGGCTGAGCCAATTGGAGGGAACTTGATGCGATCCAATGCTAGCAGCAACGCAACCGCACTCGTACCCATTACATATTCTGCAACAAAGAGACCAGCAACAGCACAGTACCATGTACTCGCACCCGTACCTCACCAAACCGGCGCACTTGGGCTCGTCACAGACTGGGCTAGATTTCGGATCCATGGATGGTGGAAACCAGATCGCAGGCGCTAGCAGAAAATTGGATCGCCAGGGTTGCTTCTCAGGCCCACCGCCCCCCCTCCAGCGACCAAGTGCCCAAGCACAAGTACCTGGACGCAGCCGCAGTTATCGCAGCGATACAAACTTGTGCGCAACCACTAACACGGCTGGGTCGGGGATACGTCCCGAAAGCGACGGCAGCTCGCCCTGGCCAGCGCCGCCAAAAAGCCTCCCCAGAGCTCCCCCCTCTCACGCACGGGCCACGAGCCAATCGGAGTGCCTGCATGCGCCAAAAGCCCAAAAAGCCCGGCCGGCGAACCACTGGCCAACTGGGGCCAAAGAGCGAAGCGGCTCGTCATTCCAGCTGGCGTTGCTTGTCTTGTCTTGTCTAGCCTCGTTTTCGTCTCGTCTCGTCTCCTCCGTTGATCTCGTCTGGTCTCGTCTATCTAGTACTTGCAGTATCCAGGCCGTGCCTTGGTACCTTAGTAGTATCTCTCTGCTAACTAATCTGTCCTATCTACTTTGGGTACGGTAGTCTATCGTTCCCTTGTTGCCGGCCAACAGCGGCAAAACTTACTCGTACCCAAAAGACGCTGGACTGGACAAAAAAGTCACGATACGGGGTACCAATGCAAACTAATACCGTCTCTTTTTTGTTTTTTTGTTACTCGTCGTTTTTTTCGTCATCTCGACTCCCCTGTTTCACCACCGGCGCCATCCGATGATCACTTGGTGCAAGCCGCAACTGATATCCTCATCTACTCCTCATCTCTCACCTCTTCACAAGAGTCCAGACACGGGACCGAACATCTGACTGTAAGGCTTTGCTTGCTTGCACAGCCGCTCCTCTTTTCGTCGTGTAAGTGACGTGGGAATGGACCCAGGAAGAGACAAAAAAGGGAAAACGTGACGGCACTTTTAATTGGTATCACGGCCAACTTTCGGGGAGTTTTTCTTTTTTTTTTTCATGTTGCTTGAACGAACACCACCATCAACAAAACGCCCAAAACAATAGTTTACTATTTTACTCCGCCAATTTTGAGAGAATACTCTCGTCATCATAGATCAACTAGTTTCTCTAAAGCCAGAAGCAGACACATGCAGCGCCATCGTCGATCAATGTCGTTCGAGAAGAAAAAACCAGTTTTTTTTTAAAAAAAAAAAAAAAAAAAAAAAGGCACCAAGTCGGCTTCCACGGCTCCCTAATACAATCAATAGCTGCAAGCGAAACGAACACACACACTCACCACATGCACTCAACGCACACACACCCCTCCAACCAAAAAAAAAAAAGCCCCGATTTCGTCGCGACAAATGAGAACCGGCGAAGTCGCTTTTTTCTAGTAGTTCGAGTAAACCACCGGGTAGTTCGTTTGGGGATGACTTAAGCATGGCTAGCCAGCACCCTTTTCTTCTTCTTCCCCCCTCCTCTTCCCCGTGCTGACGTTACAGATCATATTTTGCTTAGGGGGGGGGTCTTCTATCATAATCGATCTCACCGGCACTACCTACTATGACAAGCAAGTATTCTAAATTGTCATTTCCTGCAAAGGGCTGTCATCTCCGCCTGGACGTTTTTCTTACCAGTCATTTTTTGGGGAGGTATTTTGTCTTTTTTTTTCGCAAGGCACCGCCAAATCGGGTTCAGACTCAAAACGTGGGTTTTACTTCTACTCTTACCTACTGCCAATGCATTGCGAAACGAAACGAAACAAGAACATTACATACACACGTACACTTATGAGTACTACCTAGGTAGGTAGTATATGCAACCCCCACTAGTCTGCGCGTAGTTTCGTCGGCCTCTCCAAGCGAGGAACCTGAATTCTGATGTATTCGTTTTTCTTCAGTGTCATTTGTTGTCTGGATTCAGCAAAGGACTGCGTGCCGTCCTGCCCAAGCCACGGAAATAGTCGCAGGACATTAATTCCAAAAAAAAAAAAAAAAAAAAAAAAGGTGGTTGGACCCCCCAAAAAAAACACGAAGCCGAAGACATGTTGCTGCGGTTCGACTCACAAACAAGCTGTTTCTTCTCTCGTGACTCCGCGCGTGATTGGTTCATGATACGCCCATCGAATGAAGAGCTGTCTAAAGAGGTGCCAGCTTAAGATTTCTTCCCCAAACGCCAAGCCTAGCTACATACATACAAAACACATGGCTTGGCCCTTTTTTTTTCGCCTTCGATTTCTCTCTCTCGACTCAGCCCGTTCCATGTCATGCTTTAGCCCGGCTTGTTTTTCTGGGCGCAAGCCACATCGTTCGCCGAGGAGCGCACACCCAATGAATTTCCTTGTGATTCCGGCAAGCCCCATCAGGAAGAAACTCGTCATGCTCCTGCGATGGCCTTGGAACCGGGCCGGTCTGGTGAAGGGAAGAGGGCAAAAAAGCCGCTCTCGTTGACGCCTATCGCGCTCAACAACATAGCCCGGCCTCACAATCACACCTCCATCGCAGCCCACATGGAATGACCGCGGTGGGCCATTGCTCCGTCCGTCTCTCGTTGGGCCGAGAGAAGAGGATCCTCCTCCAACATCACTCCAGACCAAGAAACGAACCGTTGAGCCTTGCGCCTTGCGCCTTGCCTTGCCGCGGTGGAGGCAGCTCCATATTTCCAGCATCCTTGCCATCGTATCATTCTTCAGATCAACTGCGCCCTGGTCGCATCTAGGCCAGCCTATCAGCGAGAAAACACGTCCACAAGGTTTCGTCTCCAACCCCACTCATGCAGGCCGCACGCTATCTGCAAGCAAGCATGTTCTGCGCTTCTGACCACATGTTTTTTTGGGTTCGCCCAGGGATCTTACATCCCATCTATCAAATTAAAAGAAGAAGAAAAGTCATCTCATCCTTGTTGCCGTTGTCGAAATCTGGTATGTAACTGTAAGCATCAGGGACCCCTGGTTTGGTTTTCCCCGGGGGCTCCAGAAAAAAAGGGCTACGCATGACCCTCAAATCGCTCAAATCGCTCAGTCAAACACCACATTCAGGCTCCTGGATAAAGCCAGGGCTGGTCATTTGATGCGTACGCAGGCCCGGGAACTTGCATTGGAACAGGAACCGTCCCCGCAAACATGGCCATGTCGCCGCTAGCCCGTGTCTTGTCAACGCTCTTTGACTCAGGTACCGGGATCACCACTCCGCACTCCCAGTTGCGACAGTTCATCTTGATGCCTCCCGTAGACTTGTCTCTAGATAGCCGGCCCCTAAAGAAAAAAACACCACCCCCAGCGGCCGTCACCGCGGCGGCGGCGGGCACAGTCAGCCTCTAAGTCACACGAAATGTCTCGACCCGGTGCCCATCAGCAAGCACCAAACAAGGGGGGAAAGGAGCCGGGTGTGTGGTGGACGTCAACTCACCAGGCGCTCTCGGAGAGATTGGCGCTCCCTACATAGGCCCAGCCTGGCGGTTGCCGCGTCGCTTGGCCGTCTCCGACCCGACGCACGAATATCACTTTACTGTGGATGAGGAGCCGGTCACGAGTGATGACATCCCGCACCAGCTCTCTTGGAAAATTAGGCGACCGCCACCACCTGGCCTGGACGCAGATTGTGCCTCCCGCCTGTCATTGTCATGTATCAGTTGTGAACTGTCGTAAGCCCGGGGCCAAGAAATTACCGCTTGCTGATCAAGCACAAGCATAATGGCCTCGGGAGCCCGTGATAACTCACATTGCGTCCGCCTCTGCTTCGGGCCACTGTCTGATCCGTAGGGAAGTGGATGCGGAACCGGTCCTTGAGCTCCTTGGACGTCGTCTCTGCCGGTTTCCTGGCCGGTCTTGATCTCGAACTAGCGCCACCGGAGTTGTTGTAATCGTCCATGCCGTCATCACCTAAACAACATGTTGGTCAAGGGGAGTAAGCAGGTGGGAATCCGTCATGCTGGGCCGTTTTACCTCGACAGGCATTGTATATCGCCTCTACCAACCCGCGGTTGATCGATCCCAGCGACGCACACTAGGCCTTACCATTAGCAACTCCATCCCATCCAGTGGGTATTCGTAGAAAACGTGCCACAAGGTCGACCTCGACAGGTTCGGGATTGGCTAAGCCGAGGGCCGCTACACTAGCACCGAGGCCACAATACCCTTTTTCGCAGGCAACAGTCAGCGATGGCAACGATTCATACACCTCGGGTCTTGTCAAGACCAACCTGTGCGTTGTGCTGCTTTTCCCGTGTGGCTTCCGGGTCTAAAAGATGAGGTTTGATTCCGGTCAGTAATACAACGTCGGTCAAACGGAGGGGCAATTTGTCTTGTTCCTCTTTCCCCCTGCCCCTCTCGGGTACATCCCTGGAATTGCACGCACATGGTATGGACGAAAGCGATATCTGACGTCTTGGAAAAGTCGTAGTTTGATAGGCTGGCAACCATCTTTTCGCCAACGCCCGTTGCCTGGAGGAAGTATACTAGCTCCGTGTAGAATCCAGTCGGTGTCTGCGGTGGATGGGCGGCGGGGTCCTCCAGTCTTGGGAGATCAATTAGAAATACCATCTGCACGTAGACAAGGACGGAATTGGCCCAGGTTAGCACGGAGAAGGGCAAGAAAGCCAAAACGGGTGAGGGAGAATAATATGATATCAGAACGGCAAGGGGGGGAGAGGGGAATACCGACGTTTTCCATGACCCCGGTCTCTCCCCAGTCATACGGCACAAGGTTGCCCGTTGGGATGACGACACGGAGGCGGTCCGGGAACTTGAGGAGCTGTAGTTTGGAGTGCATCGCTCCAGGGCCATGCATCGGCGGGAAGCAGAACTTGATGTTGGAGGGCACGTTGCCACGCATAAGGTTCTTCTATACGAGGTTGCCTGTCAGCATTACACTCAAAGACTTGACGGCCGCACAAGGTTTGCTGCCCGGAGAGGGGACAGGGAGAGGGGAGAGGGGAGAGGGAACGTCAGGGGCGGGAAGGGAAGGGTACCTGAGCTTCGTCCTTGGCGAATGCGAGTAGCAGTATCTTGGTCCTCCTGATGTCGAGCTTGGAAATCATCCACTCTTCGTCCCACTGGAAAGACGACAGCACGGCGAGCTCCAGCTGGTCCTTTTGGAACACTTCCTCGATGGTGATTGTGTCGCCTGTTCGTGGGCAGCCGCGAGACCACGTCCGTTTGACGATGCCGTTTGGGTACGGTAAGTTGCTGCTGCTGCTGCTGCTTGTGATACTCCTCATTGAAGCTGACGCCGTTGCTGTTGCTGTTGTTTTACTGGTGGTGGTCTTGCTCGTGGGTTCCGGGACTGTCCTGGCTTGCTTCTTGGGCGGAGGGACCTCGACCACGTCGTCGTCGCCATCGTCGGTGGGTGAACGTTGGCGTTTGGCGAGGCGGTTGAGGCGTTCTTGCTCCATGGCCTTGCGATCAAGAAGGAAGCTGCCGAACTGAGACTGGTGCCGTGACTGTGAAGACTGTGTCGTCTGTGTCTGTGATGATTGTGTCTGTGTCTGCGTCTGCTGCTGGATTGACCTCGACGATCCCGCCCTTGTCTCGTCGTCACCATCATCACCACCACCACCATCATCATCATCCGAATCGAGTATCACCACCGGCGAATCAGCCTCATCCTGCAGCGACAGCGCAATCGCGTACCGCAGAGCCTCGTCGTCGTCGGCATCGTCCGCCAGCTCAGGCACGCGGCCCTCGGGCTTCGCCATTGTCTCGATGCGGTCGGATGTACGAGAAAACGAGCACAATTAATGTCGCACCCGGAATGTCGTTGAACCAAGCTTATTGATCCAACTTGGGGGCCAAAAAAATTTCACCGCATTTGTCAACGTGATCTCGGTCGTGATCGTTTGCGTCAGTCACGGCGTGATCCCTGTCTTGTCCCGTTGCGTGAATGGACAGGCGCGCTGTCACGTGGGAGGGTGTCGTTTGGGATTGTTTGTTTGTGCAAGTTGGCGGTTGAATGCAGGGCGAGAAGAAGGGATTTAGGGGGGAATTCAATTGGGGCGGATGAAGTGAATTTGCGCTTTGTAAAGGGTTGAATTGACAGCGATGGATGACCTTGTTATGAGGGTGTTTGTGCTGCGGCTTGCAGTTGGTTATTCGAGGCTTTTGGAGCATGTGAACGTTCACAGATTGACTAACACGCACGCATTACAAGGTACACAGATGCACGCACTTATTAGAACCCCCTTGCTTTGAAACCATCAACACATGCAACTGTTTTTACCATCAGAGAGAACTACCGAGACAGAATCAATCAGTGTTGGATGGAGCTCGTCATGCATTTCCCCCCCTCCCTTGCCTGACAAGGCTTCCGATCATGGCGGCGCCTTGGACGACACGCCCATCGAACAATGACGTCCACGAAGCCTCGTCTCCATCATATAAAACAAAACCCCCTTTGCTGTCTGTGTTTTAACATGTTCATCGTGACAATCAACTACAATACTCTCTCGAAATAAATATTAGTATATCGCCATCTCATTTCCATACGGTGAAAAATGTCTTCTCGAAACCAAACCAAGACGCCGCGCCACATTGTCATTGTTGGAGGCGGCGCTGCAGGCATGGTAAACAAACTTCTCATTTTCATTAGAATCTGTATCGCCTTTCATATATGAAATCTAACTTGCATTGCTTCAATAGTCTTGTGCTGCAACGCTCGCCAATCACACAGAAGACTTCAAAGTAACCCTCCTCGAAAAGAATAGCGTCGTAGGCGGCCAAGCAACTTCCATCCCCCTCGACGAGAAAAGATTCGGCGCAGCGTGGATGAACAATGGAGTTCAAGGAGGATCTCAAGTCAGCCCATCCCTCTTATACTCATATCCATCATTCATCATTACCTCACTTGAGTAATAATAAACTAACGAAATCAGATCTTCAAACACACCTTCAACTTCTTCAACCAATACAACTTCCCAGCCCAGCCTCTCCAGCTCCAAGTCTCCTTCGGCAAAGGCCCATCCGGCTTCTGGACAAACTGCTTCCCCAGCAAGCTCGTCGCCCAGCACTCCTCCGACATCAAGCGCTTCGGCGTCTTCCTCAAGGTCGTCAAATGGACCATGCCCGTCCTCGGCCTCTTGCCCATCTCCATCATGCTCCGCCTCTTCTTCTTCAGCAAGGACTTTGGCGACAAGATGGTCTATCCGCTCATTGCCCTGTTTCTCGGGACGGGGAATCAGACGGCAAACGTTCCCGCCGCCATTGTTGAGCGGCTGTTTAACGATCCTAACATGAAGCTCTGGGATTATGATGCTGACACTCTGCTGCCGAATCAACCCACCATGTACTCGTTTGACTGTTTACACAACTTTTACGACACATGGAAGAATGATCTGGTAGCAAAGGGAGTCTCCATTAGAACCGGCACCGAAGTCCAAAGCATCCCATCACGATCCAAAAAAGGAGTCCATCTCGTCATCAAAGACACCAGCACCGACAACATCACAACAGAGCACTTCGACAACCTCGTCCTATGCGTCCTCGCCGACGATGCCCTCCGCATCCTAGGAAAATCAGCAACGTGGCGCGAGAAACTCGTCCTCGGCGGCGCATCCTTCTACGACGACCTCACAGTCACCCACCACGACTCCGAGTACTTCTCGAAGCAGTACGAAACTCGCTTCAAGCCCGAGCTATGCGGAGACCCCAAATCAGAAGCCCAATGCCACCAAATCTCCTCTGCCAAGGGAGATTCTCCCACTCTTGGTTATAGCGCCGGTTCAAGTTCAGGTTCACAGCATCAGTCTTTCGATCCCATGTACTACACGTACACGTACCAGCAAAACCCGCGCCTCATCGAAATGTCTTTCAACTGCAGCAACTACCAACACCAATTCAAGCACAACCAAGCATCCACTTTGTCCGAAACCCCCCCTGAACCAGTCTACCAGACCATCTTCCTCGACAAGCGAAGAAGCAATCTTTGGACCATCGACGGCATCGACGAGGCCAAAATCATCAAGCTCAACTGGTGGCATCAGCTCGGCCACCGCTGGCAGCATTACGTCCGCGTCGTCCCGGGCGTCATGTTTCTCCAGGGACACAACAATACCTATTTCGCCGGATCATGGACTCTAGTGGTATGTCTGGTCTCTCTCTCTCTCTCTCTCTCTCTCTCTCTCTCTCTTCCTCTCTCCTTTTCCACTACACACATCATAACATGCCCACACATCCATCCCCGTTACACAACAACTGCAAGTAAAAGAAAGAAGCATCTCTAACAAATACCAAAAACAACAACAGAACATGCACGAAGTCGCCTGCATCAGCGGCATAGCAGCCGCCTACCGCCTCGGCGCAGCATACCAAAAGTTCGACGACTTCGCCCAAGACTTCTTCGCCAAGTACCTCCTCGTCTCCCACGGAAAACTCTTTTCGCGCGAAGAAAAGAAGAGGAGAAAGCAAAAGGCCGTCTAGAAAAGAAACAAACCTCGTCCGACAGAGATGAGAAATCGCAATGGCAAACCCGCCATCTCCCCACTCTACGCAAGCAAAGATAAACGCTCAGTACAATGGAAGACAAATACCCATGCCGCAGGTTATCGCAATAAAAGTAAAACTTGGAGCAACAAGCACCGCATTTAGAAATGCAAGGCTTGAATCACAATGCTATCTACGCCACGCCACTCATGCGAAAAAACAGCCATTGAGATAAAACGAGTAATGTACGTAAAATGAATGCTGAGCCTAAGCATACAGATGACCATATCAAAACATCATTCGCAAAGGACAAACTTAAAAGTAAAAGAGAGACAAATAAAAGACAAAGTTAACGAAAGTAATGAACAAAATAAGATCGAGAAAAAGAGTGGCTGAAACGTGCAAAGTAGACAACAAAAAAAAGGGGGGGTTGTCATATACAACTCCGCCCAGCCCTGTAAACCCATTCCGTCAAAGTCCTCCCAATGCCAATGTGATCAAAGAAAAAAGGAAAGCAATCAATAAACAACAAATGAGGGGAAAGAACAAAAGAAGAAGAAGAAAAGCAAACAGCACAGAAAAGCGTCAGAACCGCCGTCCGTGCCAGAGATTTCGTCTGGTAGCCTGCCAGCATTCCGCCCATGACTCCTCGGGTATCATGAAAACCAGAACATAGTCAAGCCCCAAAGCAGAAAAAAAAATCTTCGTTCTGATGCAAGGTTACATGTTCTTGTAACATCCAGGGTCAAATTCCACCGAAGTACCGTTTAAAAATAAGAAGAAAAGGTTAAAAACCATGGTTGATATGCAAATCCTCTCGCCCGCTTGCGCCCAAAGCATCTTCGATGCAGCTTTCTCCTTGGCCGTTTGAAGAGAAACAAAACAAAGGAAACGAAAGCTTGCGTAGAGTTGAAAACCACACACAGACACGCACACCGCTCGAGTGCTTGCTCCCGAAAGCCGTACGTAGGCAGCCGTACTGTATCCCGTTCTAGGATGATGCAAAAGACATAGCAAAGAAGAGAAGGGAAAGGAGGTGTTTGGTACCGTTTCCCATTCAGCCACAGCAATGATATATCACCCGAGATGGGGAAATAGAGAAGCGATATTGGTTGAAAATGCAAGGCAAAAAAAATGGAAAAAAGCCAATCACAATTAACGAGTAAAAGGTTTCCGCTCGGCTGGCGGACCCTCGGAAACCATATCTAGCTTTAAAATCCGCCTAAGATCGTTTTCCATGGCCTGGATGCTGCCTGCGCTATCATAACCCGAGCTGTCCACCTGTCTGCTGGGAAAGTACTCGGGCATGCGCGGGGGTTGGTTGGCAGAGGATGGAGTCGTTGTCGCGGACGGCTGAGGAGAGAAGAGGAACCTCTTGAGAGCTGCAGTGGGATCCTCAGCCGTCGTTGTGCTGTTGGCGCTCGGAGTGTGCTGGGGAGCCGTGTGGGCAGTCGGGGGGTTTGAGGCGAAACTGCGAGCAGCCTTGATCCGATCCTGGTAGGGAGCTGAGAATGGTGGGCCGAGCTGTTGGCTTCCGGTACCATCCAGCTCGAATATCTCGACACCTCCAGAGGACTGCCGGCTGTATGCACGGCGGTTCTCTGCCAGGTTGGACGAGGACGGTGTTTCCGTGTGGTGTGGTGGAGACATGACGCCGGCCAGCAGCGAGGCCGGGCCAGCAGTGTTGTCAGATTGCTGCCGGGCCCTTTCTTCTCTGTGGGCTCGGAACATGAAGTCGAGAGGGGATTCACGATGCTGCGAGGCCGAGGCGGGTCGATACGGCGTAGGGGCCTCGGAATCAGTGGCCGGGGGGGATGGTTGCGGGATGACGCCCCTTATCTTTCGCGTCATCGGGGACTCGCTGTTGGACTTGAGAAAGCTCGGAATGGGGAGATCGGCTGGAGACGGCGAGGCATGAAAGGTCGCACCAGCAAACGCTGCGCTAACGCCAGGCTTCGAGGTCGGCGACGTTCTAGGAGGCGACTGATTGTTGCTCAGCTGATAGTTGGGAGAGGCAGCGTCGACTTTGCCCTTAGATTTGTGGCTGCGGTTCTTTTGCTTTCCACCAGCCTGCGCATTGTAGCTTTCCGCTAGTGCAGGCGAAGCAGAGAGTGTCTTTTTGGGAGTTTGAGGCGTCCTGTGGTGGTGAAGGGCAGAGGCGCCGTAGTTGGCGGCATCGTTCTCTGACGCATACGCCCTGAGAGGGGCAGGTTTGCCTCTAGGCTGCCTGCGACGGTTGGCCGTGGTCTTGTTCGGTGATGCGTGGGCGTCCATTGGGACTGAAGTTGTGAGTCAAGCTGGTGATACTTTGGTTCGGTCGAGGTCGAGCACAAAGGGCCGTCGTCGTCGGTTGCGGAGAGCAGTGAAAAGGCTTCGTCTCGGTTGGCAGACAATCACGTGAAGTGCCAGGGGATCTCGTCTATTTGGCGATGGATGCGAAGATGCGAAGCGGAACGGCGGGGGGGGAGAGGAGGATTAAAACTAGATGCTTTGGGCAGTGGTCATGATGCGTTTGCTCTGGAATGGAGTTGATACAGTTGCGGAAGACTTCAGCCCCCGGTGGTTCCTTACCTTGAGGCTACTAAGGCAGGTAGACTTGGGCATGCATGCGTTGTCAGCTGGAAATGGGGAGCTAGAGGTACCGCTACGGGGGCCATGACGAATTTTGGGTGGGTGCGCCGGTACTGCTACTTCGACGAGCGTCCGTTTTGTTCCGGGCGGCAGCTGCCAAAGTACCTACATGCAGCGTCTGCACAGGGCTGGCTTTGTTAAAGTGGTGGGCTTTGGGTGAGCTTCAATGAGATAAGAGAAGAGACAAAGGAAACAAAGAATAAATCACGGCAGCAGCTGCAATAGAATTCATTTCCCTCTTCTTATGCTTCTTTTTATCTTTTTAATCTCTATTTAAATATACAGAGTAAACCTACCTACCTTAGTATCAGTGAATTAGAGTTTCGCAAGATGGTTTGACGTCTTTGTTCCACAGCGACTTGCATTACGCCTTGGTGTTTATTGCGTTAGGCTGCCTTTGTTGTCATTGGATGGCTCAGCAACGGCGGAGAAGCATCCAGAGCCTCAAAGTACCCCAGAGGTCTCCTCACACTCGCCATCAGCGTTGACTCTACATGCTCGCAACCTGCAGGGCACCCGGCTGCTAGTGACAGCAGTAACTGCGACTCCATTACGCCTGCAACTGGTACTACTGCCGCTATCAAAGCGTGCCCCTCGCTGCGATTTGCCTTACCTCAGTAAACTCGAGTCCCGTAGAGCAATTGCACGATTACAACATCTGTGGAAAGCCCAGCAGCAGCAGATCTTTGGTGTTGCTTCAGCCTTTTTTTCTTCCCTTTTTATCTCTGCAAGCTTTGCCTCACACCCCATTTCTTAGCTGCCAGTTCCCGTTGAACTCAGGGCTGCTGCATCCGGTGACAAGGCTTAATCAGCAGCATTTCTTGCAGCGTTGGAGGCGAGTAAACTGCTGGACTAACATTAGGCTACGACGGACCTTGATAGCTAACCAGAGCCGCACAGGTCATCCATCGAGTCCCGAGAGCTCGACTGTTCCCCTCGTTTACACATCCTCGTACCCCTACACTCCTGCCGTGGCACTGCGATATCACGGAATCATCATCACTGCCAGAGCTTTCTTGAGAGATCACGAGCTATCCGAACATGGCTGACGTCGAAATGAGCGATGCCCCGGTGGCCGCCAAAAAGGCCGACGGCGTCATCGCCAAAGGCGCCGACAAGAAGAAGTTTGAAGTCAAGAAGGTACGTTGGCGAGACATGTCGACATCGTGCGGGACTGGGCAGCACTGACTGGAGCAGTGGAACGCTGTCGCTCTGTGGGCTTGGGATATCGTAGTCGACAACTGCGCCATCTGCCGAAACCACATCATGGATCTTTGTGAGCCTTACCCATCGCCCTATAGGCGGAAATTTACTTACGCCCGTCAGGCATAGAATGTCAGGCGAACCAGGCATCCGCTACGAGCGAGGAGTGCACCGTCGCATGGGGAATCTGCAACGTAAGGCGTCCATTTTATACATGATGGCAACAGGTGACTAACTGGCGATGTACTAGCATGCTTTCCACTTCCACTGCATTTCACGATGGCTAAAGGCCCGATCAGTCTGCCCTCTAGACAACAGAGACTGGGAGTTCCAAAAGTACGGTCGATAAACGGAGTAGGCGGAGCGGGGAGTAAAAGCAAGGAACGATATCACGACATGGAGCATGGGAAATGCGGCACAAGATTTCGGAAAAGATTTAAGCTACATGCTGATTTTGACAACGTGACAAAACGCCGAGGCCTGCTCAGAGCGGCGTTATCCAGTCGTCATGTCCCGCCCGTGTTAAACGCAGATCCGATAGGCAGCCACTTGACCGGGTTCTTGTTATAGAACGGCCACGGCGGAATAATAATGAGAAATGTCAAGACCGTGCCTCCCAGTCCAACATATAGGCATTTGACGATGTCTTGTAGTACGTATCCGACGTTGAATGCGATGAGCTTGGAATTTGTAAGCATGGGTAGTCCATTCGAGGCTGGGAAGAGGTCACCCATACTCCTGTCAGGGCAAGGAACAGAGTGGCAAGGCCTTCTGCTCGTCGCTGGCCTTCAAAGTCCTGCCATGGTAAAAATCAGTCAGCCCATGTTCGCTTCGGTAGATGGGGATACCGGGTGTCCTGACTATTTGGCCCTCCACCACGTCCCGCAGCTTGTCCAGGATCTCCTCCGCCATGTTGCGTGACGCCTCTTGTTCGATGGCCGCTATTCAATCCGCTTTTCCTCGTGTAGAATCGTGTGTTGGGGGCGGTTTCGCAGAGGAATTGACGGCGAGCGCGGAATCGAAGCAGTAACAATGTCTGCCGAGCATTTGCATGCCCGTAATAGTAGACACGTCTTTGGAGGTGATGCCTGTGGCGCAAATCTCCGGACTGGGAGCGGGTGGGGCCTCAGCCTGGGGAAGTGTGGCGGTGCGAGCACATGTCACTGCTGGCTACCTCACTTTGTTCACCTAACCTGGACTCTGCGTTTGGGATTTGGGGTCTGAAGGAGGACATGATGATGCATCCTAGCGAGCTTTATTTCTCTTTTTTCTAATTTCCCCTTTTTAGCCGATATACCCGCACGTATGTATTTGTATTTGTGACATGTGTATGTAAGACTGAGTCATCTTGCTATCTCGTAGATGCTATTTGTGTCTGACCAGTCTTTGGTGTACATTCTGAATCGTGGGATTTGGTCTAGAGTTATGTTGTACAATGAAATGCTCGTGCTGAAGCCACGGGTGAGTGTTGATGGTTTCTGCAGCTGTGATGCAATTGACTCGGGCACACATCAAGGAGAATTTTGGTCAGTCCATCAAATCTTCCGAGAGATGGGCTGCTCCGTATCCATCATTTCCAAACAGGGATACGTCCAGCAAGCGAGGGCGGAGATGATGCAGAACCTTGGCAGCGCACAGTGCTTGCGGTGGCAATCAAGACTCCTTGACGTATGCCTGTAGCACCAATGCTTCTGCGAAGAGATGGAGGGGATCATTCTCCGAGAACCGTTATCCTCTCATTGAGCATTGATTTTCGAGAGCTATTTACAGAGCACTTGCAACGGTAAACCCCAGACGGAGCTCTGATGAGAGGCAATTACAGTAATATACAGGTACAGAAGCTTTCTGGACTTTCACATGCTTGTCTCGCATGCTGAAGATTGTGTATCACCAGCCCTATTGAACCCGTCATTGAGTTTGAATGGACAAGTTCCATAAATCTGTGATGACTAGAACATCGCAAACCGATTTAATCCCGCCCTACACCTGCATATGGCCCCCCAAAGCTGCCCTAGTTCTCCCCATCAGCAGGCCGAAACGTGCCGTGATCGCGGACCTGGCGACAAGCTACCGAGTGGCGCTCACTGGGAAAACCGTTGAGCGCCGGTAGCAGATACTAGGTACTGGCAAGGGGAGGGCGCCGAGTTAGAATATACTCTTGTCCGGATAGGAGCATCACACAATACACGTGAGGACCTTAACGTTTTCCAAGTACAAGTCCGTTCCCCTAGTGCCCCAGCCCAGTACCGCGGAACCTCTGTCCCCCCGAGTTTCGCACAGTAAAATTTCTCCCCGCCAGCCCAAGTTTTTTTTGGCCCCCCCCAAAACGCAGCGCTCTTCGGTCTGGTCAAACCAGCTTAGCGACCACCAGCTGGTCTTCGTGGCGGCGGGTACCGCCAAAAGGGAAAATTTCGTCTCCTCGCCCAAGAGGCTAAGAACGGGTTCCTTGCCTTTGGCTTTTGTTCTCTTTACAAACTCTTCTTCTTCTTCTTATCATCAGCCAAAGGCACCAATTTTTGTTGATGCCTTTATTCTCCCTACTTTACTAAGCCCTTGACGCGTCTTCTCGGGCTTTTCTATAACAAGTCCTTTTTTTTCTTCGCTAAGGTGGTAGCGTATTAACCCCGTCGTTTCTCCTTGCGGCGCACACATCAGCCCTTTGTCCCTTTGCCGCAAACGAAAAGAGACAGACTCGGAGAAATCTCCTTTTTACTCACCACCACCGATCCTTCAAAGAAAGGACCATCTCTCGCCATCTATTCGATAGCTCGATAGGCCTCGCATAGCCGCTGTGCAGCCACAAACCCGCCGTCGGGTCCCCGAAAAGCCTCGCTTCTGCGCATCGCAGACTTGACCCCGAAAAACCTTCAAGTTGGCTCAACTCGCCTCCCCGGCCGTTATCTTCCCCTCGCTCCTTGGACCCGGCTGCTGGGTCTATAGCGGAGTCAACAAAGAACCCCCATAAGTTGGCCTTCTGATAGTTGTCCGCTCGCCAATCCCGCATTTGTTCCCTTCACCTTTTCCTGTAGCTCCATCAGCTACAAAAGACGGGGGAAATACCATCTACAGACCCAGGGGTCTTCGTTTTGTTCCAAACCAACTACTCGGCGCGCCTCTGCCGCGCCGAGAGGGCCCTTGATAGCCTGTCCCAGGCTTAAAGCGTCAGAGAAACCATTGCCAAACTATGTCCAAGAACCCTTAGAGTTGCCAGCAGGCTTCGTCCGAGTTGCGCGGTGTTTAGTTTAATTTCGATTCAGCCCGCCCTTGTCCCTTCGATAAACCAGATTGTTCACCATGTCCGAGCACGAGGAAACGTTTCCCAGCGCGGGAGGCTACGATGCCCCCGTTCCTGAACTTGACGACCATCGACAGCATTCAACCACTCAGCGAGTTGAGCGGCCGCGCCGAGGAACTTTCGACAGTTTGTACGGCGCTCGCCATCTCGAGTCCGAGCCCAGCAACGCGGCGGTTAGAATCCGTGATTTTGAAGAGGCCATCCTCGACGAAGAGGGAGATGCCCAGCCTACGCCGCGACATGGCCGTCGCCCGACGGTGGAATCGTCGGTTGATGGTAGATCCATCTCGCCCCCCAATTCGGTCAAAGCGTTCGCCGAGGCTCGACGAAGAGAGCGCGAGATGTCCTTCTCTGGGGGTAGGGATGAGGTTGAGGAAGTCCTTGGCCGCGCCATGTCCATCTCTAGCCGGCGAAGCCATCGCAGTCACGTTGGAGAAGCCGATGCCAGAAGCTTCCTGACCAACAAGACCGCCGAAGAAGACGTCTGCTATCCTCTCCAGGAGACGCATCCCAAGCAGCACGACCTCCGAATCGACTTCGAGTATCTCGAGGACTTTATGGCTGAAGAGCGGGCTGAACGAGCTGCCCGAGCAGAGGTTCAAGCCTCAGAGAGCTTCAGAGACTTGCGGCGCACGTCTACTTTACCGAAGCCGGTGCAGATGGTGACGGTGGACGGCGATATTCTCGAGATCCCCTCTGACGACTCCATGTCTAACGAGAAGGTGTCCACGGAGGGCGTTTCTCCTCCCAAGCTCCAGCAGAAGCCCCCGGTCGACAGCACACGCTTCAGCTTCTTCTCGTCCGCATGGGAGTCGACGATTCACGCCGCAGAGATGGCCGATCTCGTCCTCCCGGGAGAGGACATCCGAGGGCTGTTTGAACTTCCAGAGGACGAGGATGGCGGTGTCTGGTGGCTCAATGTCAACCATGCCACAAAGGCAGAAGTGTACGGCCTTTGCAAAGCGTTTGGCGTTCACCCTCTGACCATTGAAGATATTGTCACCCAGGAAGCCCGAGAGAAGATTGAGCTCTTCCCGTCGTACTATTTTGCGTGCTTCCGGTCGTTTAATGTTGTAGACGAACCTGATGGGAAAGAATACGAGCCTTTCAACATCTATGTCATTGTGTTTAGAGAGGGAACGCTCAGCTTCAGCTTTACGCCCAACTCTCATGCTTCAGAGGTGCGCAAGAGGATCACGGCCCTCAAGGACTATGTCTCTCTTAGCAGCGACTGGATTTGCTATGCTTTGATGTAAGTTTTTGCATTGCCTCTTTTTTTTTCTTCTTCCCCCATTCAATATGTATGTGGTCTAACAATGTGGCGCCAGTGACAACATTGTTGATAGTTTCGCCCCTGTTATCAACCAGATTGAGATTGAAGCCGACGCCATTGAAGACGAAGTGTTTGTCATGCGGTACGACGATTCAAACACGTTCCTGCGGTCTATTGGACGGGTGCGGAAGAATTGCATGGCCCTCCTGCGACTCTTGGGCGGCAAGGCTGACGTCCTCCGCGGATTCACCAAGCGCTGTAATGAAAACTACCAGGTGACGCCGCATATGGACATTGGCATGTACCTTGGCGACATTCAGGATCACGTCGTGACCATGGCGACCAACCTGGGCCACTTTGAAAAGATTCTGTCTCGCGCCCACAGCAATTACCTGGCCACCTTGTCCATCAACAGCATCTCCCAGGGCACCGACACGAACCGAGTGCTGAGCAAGATTACCATGATCGGATCCATTCTGGTCCCGCTCAACTTGGTCAGCGGTGTGTTTGGAATGAACGTCAAGGTGCCGTTTGGCGGGGGTGAAAGCCTCGGGCCGTTCTTTGGCGTCATCGGCTTCATGGCTGTTCTCTGCATTCTGATGATTACTGTGGCGAGACTAAAGCGCTGGATATAATGGACGAAGCTGTATGTAGCGGTCTGGTACATAAAAGGGGGGTTAGTTTTTTTTTTTTTTTTTTTGCTCGTCTTGTCTTGGTTGTTTTGTCGTTTCTTGTTCGTTTTCTTGTTTATTCATTGGACGTTGTTAGGGTAGAATTGGCATCATAGACTCGGGAAGCATTCTGAGGCGTGTGGTAATGATTATAGCCTTGTTTGTGATATAATAGCTTGAATTCATTATGCATATATATACATTTTCATCTTCATCTGTTCAACGAGATTATGCTACAGATACAAGATGATTTATAGTTTCTCTCTTCTTTTAGAATCGAGAACAAAGAATCCTTACAAGAATATATTCATCTTCCTCTTCATCTCTCTCTGTTGAAGCCATCTCAAGCTATCCCATAGTGGAGACGAATCCCTCTCCTCCCATTCGTCCATCCACACCTCCAACACTACACCACCATTGGCCCAAACCCAGCGCAAGGAAAAATTATTATCAGCCTCTCCCTCCCCGTTCAATCAATTCTCCATCACAAAGCCCCGGATTTACCGCCCACGAACAAACACGCCGGCCACCTTCAAGAGAAACCTGAACTTGTTATTGCACGAATATCACGAAGAAAAAAAAAACGTTTTGGTTTGCCCACCATGAACGCCGCACAGACTGGAATCGAGAACCTCGATCTTGAAAAGCTCAACGATAAGGATAAGACGGAGCTGCGCCAGTTTCTTGCGAATGAGCAGCAGCGGTCGCAGATTCAAGCCCGTACGTCTATGATTGCTAGGGAGCTGGGAATGGTTCGGTTGTAGCTGACGAAGAGAAAAAAAAAACATGCAGAAACGCACAACCTGACGCAGATTTGCTGGAAAAAGTGCGTGACTGGGAACATCAAGGGCGCGAAGCTGGACAAGGGCGAGGAAGGGTGTTTGGCGAATTGCGTGGATCGGTTTTTGGATATTAACTTCTTGACGATGAAGCATTTGAATAACATGCGGTCATGAGAAAGAGGGGAGGGGCTTGAGGATGGGTTGTACGATTATGTGTGATGGTATGGCTATGTATTGTGCTATGAGGATATGGATGGTTATGTGTATGCGGAATGGGAATAGAACATTCTTCCTTCTATTTGATTTGATTGTCCTAACGTGGAGAACCATTGGGGAAGTTTACGAGTTTGATGGCCTTATGAATTGAGGACTGTCCAACTACGCAGTGGGATGAATTACAACATAGACTCAATATGGAACAATCATCATGGCGAGCATTGGAAATTGTCATCACTTCCCGTCTTCATTTATTCTCTCTTCTTGGTTTTCCCCGAAATTCGGTACGTGGACGGACCGGCTTGTCTTTGCATATAGTATCATAATTTCGATCCGATAAGTGACAAAGCTTCAACTCCCATAAGTTTCCGATGCCCATGCTTTTTTTGTGTGGTGCACGCATTCAAAACCAGACCAATTCCGTTGCCGAGAAAAAAATAAAAGAAAGACTAGAGAAAAAAACGACCTCTGCTCAACAAATTATCCAGCTTAAACCAGGGACAGCTTGTTGGCGGCAATGTCGAGGGCATCGACATCGGGGGTCAGGCGGGCGTAGGCCTTCTTGGAGCCGTCAGGGCTATAACTTGAATTAGTACAATTCCTCTTCATCAAAGTATAGATAGAACCTTGAAACATACCGGATCAGAGTGTTGATCTTGACGGTGTCAATGTCGTAGAGCTTCTTGAGGGCCAGCTTGATCTGGGCCTTGTTGGCCTTGACATCGACGATGAAGACCAGGGTGTTGTTCTCCTCCATCTTCTTCATGGCGCTCTCAGTGTTGAGAGGGTGGATGATGATCTTGTGCTCATCAAGACGGGGGACGTGGTTGATGGCCTTGCGGGGGTAGCGAGGAGCGCGGGACAGGACCAGAGTCTTGGGGCGGTGGAAAGAGGTGGTCAGGCGGACCTTGCGGTTCTTGGAGGAGTGAGTCTATACATCAAAAGCACGTCTTATTAGCGAAAACTTGCCCCTTTTCACGATTTCCCTGGTTCTGCGATATATCAAAAAAAGAGAATCTACTTACACCCTTGAGGGCGGCCTTGGCAGCGGCGTTGGCCTGCTTGGAGCCCTTGGCGGCAGCTACATGATCATGACGCATCAGCAATCGCTCTTATTCAGAACTCGCAAAATCTGCTGCTGCATGATGCTTGCGCGGAGATTGGGGGAGAGCATTTTGTGTGTGTATATCGTCGCTTCGCAAAAACGGTTTGATGGCTTTCGGCTCCGTCGACGACAACAAGACTGTTGTTTCAAGTCGTACCTTTCTTGTTAGCGGGGGCCATTGTATCGGCTTGGTGTCGAGTTTGCACGGAGAGGGATTGTGCGGTTGAGGAGTTGTCGACTTATCGGAATAGTGAAAGCAAAAAAAAAAAAAAAAAGAGAAGGGAAAAGAAGTCTCTCCAACTACGTGAGATAGATTATTCCGCCGGTGTGGGCGAAATTGAAAAAAAAATTAGGGCTCCAGCAAGCGTGCGCTGTGATTGGCCTATTCGGTGCGAAAATCATGTGACTTTTGTCCACGAGCATCATTGATAGGTTTTGCCAAATGTGCTAACCGCATTCGGATGAGTATTTATAAGTAAAAAGTGTGTTCAATATAGCCATTCTCATCATTTCGGCCAGATGGTCTTTTGTCTGCACGCGGAGGCGTCGAGACTCTTGATCGCAGCACCTCGTACGCAGAAACTATCGGTCCGAGGCCCTATTACACGATGCAACCTCAACGTTGAAAGGCTAGCTATGCCACAGCCAGGATCACAGGCGTCATTTCATTCTTTTGTCAGCAGCTGTCCATGATATTGGAATTGGTGCGAGTGTCACCACGAAGCTCATTCCGCTCATCAACAGTTCATCCTCATAGCCAGGACATCTTCCCCGTTTGACAGATATACCGGGAGCATCCTCCCTAACAACACCAGGAATCATGGTCGTCAAGAAGAAGCAGACGTTGACTCGTCTCACCCAAGGCCGGCCACCGCTTGCTACGCCGTCGCGTTCTATGACTCGCAAGGCAAGCAGGACACTGATCAACAAGCATCACCAGCTGGTCAAGACTCGAACAAGGGCCATCAGAAGCGGAGACAAGGCAACAGAAGCCAAGGTCACAGCTGAGCTCGAGAGTCTGGGAGGATTGGATCACTATCAAAAAGCCAGCCTACAGGGACAAAGCATCGACAGAGGAGGGGACACATCGAAGGTGCTCATGGAATGGCTCCCGCTGGATGAGCTCAAGAAACGAACTCAACCTCTGCAGATGCTCGAAGTCGGGGCGCTCAGCACCCGAAACGCTTGTTCAACCAGCAAAGTCTTCAACGTGGAGCACATTGACTTGAACAGCCAGGAACCAGGCATTCAGCAGGAGGACTTTATGGAGAGGCCGTTGCCTGAAAATGGCAAGGGCCCATTCGACATCATCTCGCTGAGCTTGGTTCTCAACTTTGTGCCCGATGCTCTCGGTCGTGGCGCCATGCTTCTACGGACGCTGTCGTTTCTCCGGGCCGATACCGACACCACGATTACCACCGAACCTCTCTTTCCCTGTCTCTTCGTCGTCCTGCCGAGGAGCTGTGTCGACAATTCGCGGTACTTTACGGATGACAAGTTTGACGAGCTGATGGCTGCGCTTTGTTACAAAAGAGTGAGGAGCAAGAAGACACAAAAACTGGCCTACAGCCTATGGACAAGAGTCGCGGGAGTGGTAAAAGAAGGCCTGGCATTCTCAAAGCAAGAAGTCAACCCAGGAAAGACCAGAAACAACTTCGTCATGACTCTCAAAGGGCGAACCACCTGATTGGTCTGTTCTGACGAGAGAGGAAGCTTCGGATCGCGACACAACTCCCAACTCGGTATGCGGCACCTGGGACGAACAGCTTCATGCACTAGGGCCCAACAAAATCGGGTGCGGAGCGTCATGATACTTTCGGCAAACAACTACTTTTCTTTGGTTGTCTTTTTTGGAGAAGAAGCAAGCCACACACTGACCGCCTAGGATGTTCCTCCCTACATACGGAGCACCTCTCCCCCTCCCACACACCCCCAAGCAGGACGAAACCCCCAACCGAGCGTCGAGATAGCGGTCAACTAGTTCCCCGCATGGTTGATCTCACAAGCGACCCAGTCAAATAGCATTTCTTCCTTTTTTTAGCTGGCCAAAAATTTGTCGACATATCAGCACATACTTATCGAAGCTGCCGTCATCTAACTATGCGATGTTGAACACCTGACTACCGGATTGTTTCCCCGCCATCAACTGACTCGTGGGAGGGTGTTTACGGCGAAGGGGAGCTTGCTTGAGTGTTGAAGGTCGAGCTATTAATCCCCAACGGGCTTTCCATCTTTCAGGCCGACTTTTTGGATGCAATAGCAGCTGCGGCCTGTGCAACAGACGCCGGGGTGAACTCGGAAAGGGCAAACTCAGTCAACGGGTGATGGGACGGCAGCGGTGCATTGCCCGGTCTGACGGCCGGGACACTGTGCATGCCCGACTGGCGAGCTGCGTCCACCTCGTTGAGGTTGTCGCTCAGGAAGATCCAACGTGCGGGGCTGATGTCTGGATAGTGAGACAGGATAGTGGTGTAGCTAGCCACGTCGGTCTTGGGCCCCGCATTGACGGTGTCGAACCAGTCAGAAATAAGGACGCTCATGTCGGGGGGTTGGGCGGTCGTGTGAGCAAAGAACAGCTTCTGGGCCGGGACCGATCCGGACGAGTATATCATGATTTTCTGGCCGGCCGCATGGGCATTGGTGATGAAAGGCGGCACGTCAGGGAACAGTGGAGCCTTGAGGACTCCGGACTCGTACCCCTTCTTCCAGAGGTACCCTTGGAGCGCCTTTAGGTACGAAGCCTTGACATCTCGGGCGACGAGGTCCCGAACGTGCGCCTCAAAGGCACCGCGGTCGTTGCGGCACTCGTCAGGGAAAGCGTTGCGGTACTCGGCAAAGCTCGACTCATCCCACTGCTCAGTCAAGAACGTGGGGAGAACATCGAGGGCATGGGGAAACTGAAAGTGAGGGACACACGGCGCACGGCCCATTCAAAGTCAGCCACGGCGTTGGGACGGGACGGGAGAACGAAGTGTGCACGAGTACGAGTACAGCAATGAAGAGCAGCACTACGACTATGCGCGCATAAGGTGGTTGAGCAGGAAGCTAGGTGTCGTGTTGGGGAAAGGCAAGGGTGGTCTAGTCTTGCACATCGCCACTCGATTGGCTGCCGGACAGGGATGGGCGACGGCGATTAACGGGACAGCGCAATCCAGACCGTCGCCGGGGGACGAATGGGGGCCAGCCAAGGGAGAACTCACCAAGACATCCTTGACAAAGGAGATGGGACAGACGGTGCCCTCTGCATGAGTGAAGGTTGCGCGATAAGCAATCAGCAGGAGAAGACGACATGCGACGACGATGCGAGCGAGAAGCAAAGGGCAACCCGTGATTCGAATTCGCGCAGCTCGTCGCTCGCCACGTTGATCAGCCCGGGGTAAGTGGGGGGAGGGGGCGCCGTACCAATGTCTAGCAGGAGGACTTGGAACGCGCCGAAATCTGTCTCAGCAGCAGCAGCCATCTCTTTTTTCCCCTCTGTCGTTTTCCGTCCCGTCTATCTTTAGCTGTGAGAAACTACTAGACAAGGAAGGGCGCTGAGAGAGACGCAGGCGGTGAGGGGGACAGGACAGCCTGCGGAATCTTCTAGTGCAGTCTTTTTTTACGTACTCGTTATACCAAAGAAAGAAGAGACAGCGAGAGTATGGAGTAGCGGGAGTCGGCAAAAGGCTGGCTGGGGTTGCAGTTTTTAGTAAGAGCGTAGTCGTAATAAACTGTAGCTGAGAAGAGAGAGAGAAAAAAACAGGTCCAGGGGCCGAGCGGGAAAGGGAAAATTTTCCTACGATTGAAGATGGACCCCTCTCTATTTTTTTTTTTTCACACTCTTTTTGCCCTGTCTTTTACCCCCCGTCAATCG